TTTTTCACAGGATGATATCTGTTTCTTTCTTTTTCTACACATGTGAAATAAGTGAAGCAAACTCATTTACTAACGATATATTGGACAAAAATCAAGTGAAACTAAGATTTGTTGACGGAACTACCAAAAAAGATGACTTTTTTTAGGGACATAATAGAAGACCCCCCTTTTAACTTATGAATGATAAGACAGAATAGAAGACCCCGGGTCTTCTAATGTGTCGATGGCTTTACTAGGTAAAGTTCTCATTGTTAACACGGATAATAATGATCTTAACACTGTCATTACAATAACCAGAAAACATATTAATAAGAATAAAAATAATCTCATAAAATATGGTATATGTTGTTCTAAATCAGCCAAGACGTTGTGATACAACTGCAAAAAAGAAAAGATTCATTTTGTCTAATCATTATAAGTATTTATTCTACATACCATTCTAGAAAGTAAATAAATAAAATGATCGCAATGGTAACATTGCGATCATTTCATCGTTCGTTTTCTTCAATTTTCGAACAGAAAAAAAAAATCGTCTAACATTAGAATCACGTTATTTTCTCCATATCAAAGAGAACGAAAGACAGAACGATCGATTATATGCAGCAATAACTATGATGTAAGGAGGACATAACAATCTGTGATTTTCTAATTTAAAATCAATTTAAATGCATAATTGCACCTATAAAAGTTTTATTAATGCTCAGCAATACTGTAAAAATAATACAATAAATTAATAGTTAGATAATATTCCAATATCATCCTCAGAGAAAACTCGGATTTGAATCTTTTTCATTGACCTAGATGTTCGTTATATGGATCATTCTATGAATCTAGAAAGTTTTAATCATTAATAGTTTATATGAATCCAGGGTATTTTAAACAAAAAAAAATCAAATTTAATACTCTAGTATTGTGCTCTCCTTATGCATGGATTGATTACCTATTGAGACGGGCGTTGTTTTTGAAAGCGTACCGTCATTACATTGATGTTCCAGTAAATGGAAAGAAACATTCTGAGCTTGTAAAACTTGGACTTGTAAGCATAGCCGTAGGTTCAAAAAAAATTTAAAAAACGTGCGAAGGAATCCAAATATGGAGATAAGGTGCGGCCTGCCAGTCGAACTGAGCTTTTGTTAACTTTCCTGTTTCATATGATAGAAGTCTGACAATTTTATCATATATATTACTCGTTGAGATGATCATTTTTTGTACTTGACAATTCTTTCCATCATGTTCTATAGTTTGTGAAACTGCTATAGAAAACATCCGCTTTGACAATTTTTGAGCTCAAATATGTTTATGAAGCTCAAATGGATTATCAACTTAGGGTATTGATGGATGTGACCATAGTAGCTGTAGATGTTCCTTTAGATTGGCTATAGACGAAGACACAATCTACACCCACACCCTTATCACCAAATATTTATTCAGTTTAACAAGTATTTTATTTGTTGCTTTATTTAACTATGACAGTATTAAGATATGTAAATATGATGAAATAAAATGACAGAAAGAAGAATTTCTATAGAATGTATTGTATATTTAAATGAAAAAACTCCAGACAGATAAGATAATTAAAGAGCATGAAATTTGTCTTTTAAATTTATTATTATTATTATTTAATCTGAATCATCAGCTTCATCATTCTGTTGAGTTTTTCATGGTTTATAATTGGAAAAAACAACTAAGAATAATAAAAAAACATATGAAGAATGCGAAAAAAAAATGTTAAGTTAATAAAATTACTTTTATCTTCTAATAATGATCGAACATTCGGATCATGTGCGAGATCAAGTAAATTTAAAAAATAGGGTTTGAACTAGCAGTGGAACAATTTTCATTTCTAACAACTTTATTTACTAGTATTTCTGAATGAGAAATCACTTTATATTAATTTCATAGTAAAACTATACATTTTAGTTAATAATTGATAATGAAAGAGGTAACAATAATTTCATACAATCTATATCACCTGAATAACACGCTCAATGAAATGGTATATTTCCTGCTTCATCAAGACCAAGAACCGATGCCTAAATTATATATGAAAAAAAATGATTTTATTTACAAAAAAAGTTCTATACCTTATTAGGAAGTGATTGTTAAAGAAATTCAATATTTTCACGTTTAGCTGCATCATGTAATGGATTTACAAGTTTTTATGTACTTTCTTCAACTAAATTATAAAAAAACAACAACAATATAATAAATAAATTAAATATAGTTTTACCATAATTTCTTGGAATAAGACCATCTATACAATTTTTATTCGTCGTAGTCAAATACTAATCTTTATATTTTACATCATCCGTTACATAAAGTATTTCACCTTCTTCAAATGATAATTCTTCCAAAGAACGTGCTAAACATTCAAATCTAATCATTCTTCTTTTCTAATAAATAATCGTTACTTGTATAACTGTACAAAACTTTAACAATTGAAACATAACCTGGTTTCTACAAAAATAAAACAATATATGCAAATAAAATGATTAAATCTGAAATTTACTGGTGATATTAGTAGTGGAACTCTTGTATGTCCAACAACACTCATATAGAATAAGAACATTACATTTATTTTTCCTATGGATAGAAAACATATGACAAAAATAAAAACAAAATAACACACTCAAGAAATAAGAAGTGGCTGATACATATCAAGATTATCAAAGAATAATTCTTGTTGTGTTAAATTTTCACGATTTGGATGTCTAAAAAAACAAACAATAAAGATTAAAATTTGTTAAATTCAAAATTAAACTGTAATGGAAAAGTAATTGGGACAAATGTCGACTCTATCTTGAGAGTGCTGATGCGACATTCTATTACAGGATGCATCGCATAATAATCTATGTAGTGTGCTGGAAAAGTCGATTTTATCGCTCATGATTCGTTTTTTTTTTGAGATGTTTGTTTTTGAATTTCCAAACAGTGTAGAAAATATATCGTGAAATTAGGCCGACGAATACTTTCAAGAGGTTTTCCATAATGCCCGAGAGTAGATAAAAGTGTTTACAGCCCATAATAGATAAGTTTTAGTGTAATTTATATTAGTCGCAAGTCCATAAACGAAATGATGCAACAGAAAAGATAAGCAACCTCAAAATAAGACCATATTTTTCATATTATGTAGGATAATGGTCAACTCTATATAATTTAATTTTGTTATACATTCATACAAAAATGACACGAGAAGAAAAAGAAACATTCGCAAGTTGTATAATAATTCATCGAATAAGTCGTATAAATAGACAATCAATTATTTTATGCAGTAAGATATTTCAAGAAAAATAATTTATCACAAATTGAACGAATATTTGAAATATCGACAAACCAAATTTTTATCAAGTAATGATTGTCCAGTAAAACTAGCACGGTTAGTAGCTTTAAAAATTTTTCCGGAGTCTCAGGGAGTTTTTAGGAGAGCTCAGTCTACCTTTCAGAGATGGGATCGGTTCGCTTTTTCTTGAAACTGAACTGACCTAGTTTTTAAAAATTTTAAACAAAACTGATCTCATCCAATTTCTGCTATCTTTACCTTCTTCCACCTGCGGCATCTAGAACCTGTCAGGTCGGGCTCTAGTGACGCTTTCACTAAGTGAAGCTCAAGAAAAATAGCCAGAATGAGCTGCTAGAAATTATACCAAATGATCCAGTGTGATTAGAATGTAATTTTTGATAAAAAATTGCATATTCGTTGTGCCAAGCGTTTCTTGTATTATTTTGTTTATGAGTATATAGCAAAATTAAATTATATATAGTTCAAAAGAAGGAGAACGTTTCCTCTCAGCCCATAAAAAGTTTAAGTGTTTAAATCGTTTGGATCCTTAGATGTTTGAATAATGACACAATTCTAGTTTTTTTAAAATTTATTGTTATGAGAAAAAAAAGGAAATAAATTAAAGAATGAAATTTAATTGTTCTAAAAATGTGTTTTTTTTTAATTATATTTAATTGAGCAATAATTATACCGAATGAGCAATAATTTATTTACATTAAAGGTAAATTTTATATAAAAAGGACAATATGGATTCATTTTATTACGGCATATTCCAAAAATCTGCTATAAGAGAGCGTTGTGTTATACTATACATGTGTGTGCTCGTTCTCTTTCTTTCTGTCAGGTGTATTCCATTTGTATCATATATATGTGTGTTGTGATAACAGAGAGGCTCTTAATTTTCGGAAATAAACAGCATATACACAACTACGTTTTATGGATCTAATATATTTTCAGAGTGCCCCAAAGCCTCGAGAAAAGTAAATTTGAATATCTCCATTATTTATCAAGCGTAATCAACGATTTTTTTTTCAAATGATAGGTACCGATGTGAAATTTTTTTGATACAGACAAGGTTCACAAATACCGTTCAAATTTATTAATTCCGGCTGATATACAAAACTCGTCAGGCAGTGTTCGTCTTTTTTTTCTTGCATTTCGTGCGATGTTTAGATC